GGTGGAATGTACAATGAAATAGGAATGTGCAGCAGCTTTCAAGGAAAGTGGTGTTAAGATACGGCTGATGTGCATTCTCTCTGTATTTGAGCGTGCTATTTTTAAAAAATCAATGACAGTTCCTCTAAGTTGGGATCTGCCACAGGTCATCTTTCAACAGAATTAGAGGCAAAGCACTGGTGGAGGTGCTTATCCTCACATAGATGCCGCGATTCTCCTGGAATTTAAGCATCTGCTTTAAGATAAGCTGAGGCTTAAGAGCTTTTCCTTAACCATGCTGCTTTCCTTCAGTAAGGGGACCACTGTGAAACATAATATAAAACCATAATCACCTGATTGACAGCTATTGTAGGAACTGGAAATATTAAAATCTGTTTAGATGTTGATCTTCCAGGAAAAAAAACTACGATTTGTATTACCTTGCTGAAGCAGAAGTCTGGGGTTTGGTATCTGAACTGAAGGCTCATTTGAATTGAAGCGTGGATAAATAAGAATGACTGTTTTTCTCTTTTGTGCACAGAAAGTTGGGTGTGACAGGGTCATTGGTTCCACGAAGCAGGAAGATAAGTGTGGTGTTTGCGGAGGAGATAATTCCCACTGCAAAGTGGTGAAAGGAACATTTTCAAGAGTACCAAAGAAACAAGGTCAGCGCATTCGGTGTTTGTTCTGGGGAATTCAGGGTATTTTTGTTGGTATCTTCTGTTTCATGGAAAGTACCAGAGCAATCACAGATCATTTACAGCATCACTAATTCCAATAAACTCTCCAGATGTTACTTTGAGGTGTGTCTAGAACTTGAAAATAAGACTTTTGTCCAGTGGTCAGTTAAGTCTGCTGCTCTCAGGGCCTGTGCGTGTGTAGAGGAGGGCTTCAGTGCTCCTTGTTGGAGAGCTGTGGACTGATCTGTGCTGCTGAAGTCACTCAGCTGCTCCGTCCGAGTCACTGGAGTGCTGCAATAACATGTCATCATCACTCCCTGTCAGACAGGAGCTTGCGTGATCTCTCTCTGTGGGTGCATATGGCACTCAAAGCCCATTTTAGTCTGAAGCAAAGTCTGCTGATGATATTTAAGGCATTTTTCCTCTGACCCAAAGCCCTCTGTCCTGTTATGTTGTGTCACCTGGCACAGAAATAGGGATGGGAATGATGCTGGACTGGGTTCAGCTCGCTGTAATACACCCTGCTCTTAGAAAACAAGATTTATTTAAAAACCTAAGATAGACTCTTCCTGTTTGTGGCATACTAACTTGTTACTATCTTTTCAAATACTACAATAAAGGGCACATTAAGATGTTTGAAATTCCTGTTGGCGCAAGACATTTACTTATACAGGAAACAGACGCCACCAGTCATAATCTTGGTAAGTATGTAACAAGGCGGAAAAATTTCAGTCAGAATATTTTTTTTCTGCTGTTTATTTTTGTCTCTGGAGCCTGACAATGTGTTTATGCATTTATTTACCCGTTATCCTCCCACACCACGTACCTCCTTTAAGTATGTTAAATTAGGAAACTTGTTTGGCAATTTGATTTCCCTGTGCTGTATTCCCCCGTGTCCTAGCTGGAAGATCCCTGCATTGGCATGTGCACGTGTGAAAGCTGCTGGAAGAGGAGCTGAATTACATTATGGGGTGCAATGCATTATCTCCACGTGTATCTCTCGTAACGTGCTTCCCATCCTCAGTCATTTCCCAGCTACATCCAGATCCGTTTCAGGCTCTGCCCCATTGCTAACAGTATTGACGTGAGGCTGCCCGATCAATCCTGCAGCTTAGAAAGTAATTGAAATCTGCTCCTCACGGTGCCCTGTAATCAATGCGAAGCAGTGTCTAGTAGGCTGTTATTAATTGGAAGTAGATTCCCAGCAAATGGCCTGCTAATTATATCGTGAGTCATCCCAGCTTCCCACCAGCGAACGCTTCCCTTGCTGCTCAGTGCAGCCTGGCCACGAGGATCAGGAGAGCGATCGCTCACCAGGTCAGACAAGGTTCTTTTTTGGTGGGGGGAAGCGATATGTGGGGGACAGGAGCAGCTCTCTCTGTTAAGGGAGCAGGATGCTCAGGTAGCTGCTAGAGAGAGAAGGGAGTTAAAATCTGCTGGTAAATAACACGCAGTCCCTGCTGTTCCTAACGAGGAGAGCAAATTTTCCATCTGGGAAGAAAACCAGGAGTCCTGATACAAAGGTGGCTGAAGTCTCTCCAGGTGAAGGACGGGGCACTGCTGATGTCTGAACCAGAGGAATCGGGCGCTGTGCGCAATGGCAGGCGCCTGCAAAGCAGCGGGAGCTTAAGCAGCACTGTGTCGGTGTCAGGGCTGGATCTGAGCAGAATTAATAGTGTCTAGCGTCTCGCTCTCGCTGGGGGGACCCGCTGGGGGTTAGCCCAGTAGCCTTTCTCTCACGGAGCTGTAACAGCCCCCTGAGCTGCCTTACAGCATGTCAAAGAGCTGAGTAGCCGTGGGACCCCCACCGGCTGTCAAATTGGCTCGAATTTGGCCAGTGGATTCAGAAGTTGTTAGTCGGGAGCAGCAGACGGACGCACGCGGTGCAGTCGCGCTGGCCTCATTTCTCTGGCAAGGCAGGCTATGAAAAAGAGAAAAAAAGGGACGATTGATGTTTCTGGAGCTGAGCAGGAAAGCGTTGGCAGTTCAGTGAAACACCTGAAAAAGTCTTTCTAAACCTGTGAGGGAGCAGAGGGAAAATGCACACTGGCCTTTTCTGCTTCTTCCACTGGGACAAGAGCAGAACAAAACTTGAGATGAGAAGCGAACCTCTCGTATTCACTTTTCTTCTCTTGTTCCTAGCAATTAAAAATCGTGAAACGGGGAAATTCATTCTAAGCGAAGACAACTATGTGCCAGACTCTAAAGTATTTATTGACATGGGTGTGGAGTGGGAATATCGGAATGACGATGATAGAGAAACCGTGCAGACCATGGGGCCGCTGCGTAATGGAATAGTTATTCTGGTAAGTCAAATGAAAACCATCTTCCACGGAACACAATGTCAGGGTTACAGAGCCATAATATGCCATAAAATATTTTCGATTCCTCTTGTGAGTTACAAGAAGACATCTGCTTCAATTATAAGACAATAGAAGATGTATTTTAATTCCTTTCTCCTGCTCTGTACAAGAGTTGTTATAACTCAGGGTTAGGTGTTGAGCAACCAGCTCTCCTGATTACATCCTGTGGATGGCCTAGCAAGCGGCCACGGTGTAAAGACTCTCCAGCTTACTTCTCATATCTGACATGTGAGTGTTAGTTAAAACAAGGTCAAAATAGTTGGTATCTGATAGATCTAATAGCTCCTCCTCCCGTCCATGTTTCGAAAATGTATCCTGCAAAGGCAGATGCAGGATTCTTGTGTTTCCAGGCTCGCTTTGTCAGGGCACAGCCAGTTCTGCAGGTCCCAAACCCGCCCGACTGTATTCTTTTTAAATTGCAAGCCAGAAAATGATAGACTATAATGAGTAGGGGTGGGTTGATTCAGAATCCCTCTGAAAGCAGCTGTAATGTGTTGATCTATACCAGCTGAATGTCAAAGGAGGAATAAATATTATGTTTTCAAAGGACCAACATTTTGCACTTTATTCACAGAGTTCTGTTTTCTTGCATTTGTCTTAGTGCAGTGTGATAGCAAAAACTCTTTCTAAATCATTTATATTTCTGTCAGGATTAAGTAACAAGCTGCACAGAATTCCCAGGATTATCATAAGAATATTTTTGTTTTATCAGAAATATAAGCAATTTTATTCACGGCTTTCAGTTATCTGTGCACTTGAATTTGCCTTGTCTTTTAGTGGAACTATCCATTTTCATTTTAGTACAACATTTCCTTCCTTTATGATGGGATATGGAAAAAATTTAGTATCATGAAGTCAGTCCAATGCTGGCAAGAAATATCAGTCTAAATCAACAACAGTCTTTCTTAATATGCAGTTTAGAAACTCTGTGTCATAAGGATAGAGATACTTTTTCATCAGGGGAAAAAAAAAAGTGTTGAGTGCAGCTAAAAGGTTTAAATCCCTCCGGGGATATTTTTACATCTGAGCCATGATGATTGCTATTTCACATCATCTCACATAGCTTCTGATATCAGTCTTTCTTATCTTTCTTCCCTACATCTGTTTTGCTTACTAGGTGATTCCTCACGGCGGTGCCAAGATATCTTTGACTTACAAGTACATGATCCATGAAGATTCCTTGAATGTTGATAACAATAATGTTTTGGAAGAGGACTCGGTGTCATATGAATGGGCTTTGAAGAAATGGTCCCAATGTTCAAAACCTTGTGGAGGAGGTAAAAACAAAACCCCAGAGCATTCGAAATTGATTAAGAGAAAACGGAAAGAGTCGGTGTCATATGAATGGGCTTTGAAGAAATGGTCCCAATGTTCAAAACCTTGTGGAGGAGGTAAAAACAAAACCCCAGAGCATTCGAAATTGATTAAGAGAAAACGGTAAGAGTGAACAGCACGTGTGGGATTTATTGCCACAAGACAGTAGGGAGACCAGGAGTATGGGAGGGCTTTATTTAAGTTCAGAAATAGATAAATAAATAGCAAATGGAGTTAAAAGTTTGGCTTAAATGGTTTTGGGGGCAGATCTGGGATGGCTCATTTCTGATTTCTGTTTATGAAACTGAAAAATTGTACAAATATTTGGATGAGGGTCTCCAAGCTGCGAGGCTGCCAAACCTCACGGTGCCACGGGGCAACTCATAGTAAATCTGCATCCCGTGATGTGGACCTCGCACTGTGAGCCCCCTGCTTTTGGGGCCGCCTGGAGACCCTGACGCCATTCAGCAGGCTGATGGTCAGGTTGCAGCGCCGGAGTGTGGCTGTGCAGGTTTGCAGAACGTTTTTGAAATGCTACATGTTGTTTTTCCTCATTATAGCCTGTAGTGAAAAATAAAGGAGATGAACAATTCTGGGTGCTAAATCTACATGAGTCAGTGTTTATTCGGTGCAACTTACAATTCCATTTGTAGCATGTTCACCTGTAGTTCCACCTGCAACCTTTGACAGTGTACGTGCAGTTTGTTTGAAATCTGACTCTACCGGAACTGAAAATAAAAGGAGTGTCTTTCTTCAGGCTACCAGTTCACAAAATACGGCTGCCGGAGGAAGACAGACCACAAGATGATTCATCGGAGTTACTGCGAGTTGATCCAAAAGCCGAAGCCCATTCGCAGGGTGTGCAACCTCCAGGAGTGCTCCCAGCCCATGTAAGCATCGCTGCCCACCAGCACTGCTGTTACACCCAGCTCACACTTGTCACCTGAAGAAAGGTGACTTAAGCTTCACCTCCATGCACCAGCAGGACTGGGAGGATGTGATGCCATATTCTGCTTGTAGAAATACTGTTTCTAGGACTGCTGGTTCCTATTGCTTCTGAAATAAGTTGGATTAGAAAAAAAGTGCTGTCGTGCTTCAGACATTTGTGTTCAGGCCATATTGAGGTAATAAAAAATAGACATAAATTCAATTTATACCAGTTGATTTTACACAGTGTGAATGAACCATGTAAGAACAAATTTACAGAGTGCTACATAAGAAAACCAATGTCATACAGCCTCTCAAATACAAATCTTCCTAAAGTTCACAGCATATTTTTGGACATTTAAACACAGGGAAAAATATTTCACCTGTTAGATTTCTCGGCTGCCCTCGTACAGCACGGTATGCCCGTTGTACCTTCATCTTTGCTATCCATAGTAAGATGTTATAAATATTTTAATTCCCATTTTACAGGTACTTTTTTTGACTGGCAGCAGGTTACTTCTGCCACATGCAGGACTCCTATATTCCTCGTGCTGCTACTGCAACAAGAAAGGAGTATGTTGATCCCAGCTTTTATCTCTGGGGACCAAGTCTAGGTTCCAGGAAGCACAGCAAATAAGTAGAACATACCACACAATATTTCCTAACTCCCTTTCAAAAAAAAAAGATTTGAAAGAGAGAAAAGTCAAGAAACTGTGCCCCATAAACTCAGCGTGGGTCAGGGTTTAACATTTATTTATTGGAAGACTGAAGTAATGACCTAACTGTATCTCAGGCTCTCTGGAAAGGACTGTATTCTTCTTTCAGCTGCAAATATAATTGGACCCAGGTACCACAAAGACTCAATAGGATCCTAAATTGTACTTGGATTCCTGAATGTTTCAGTCACCTCTGTTTCCATAGAATGGCATTGGAGCATTTTGCACTTGTACAGAGGAGAGGCAATTATTTAAGAGATTTTATGAAGCTCTGTGACACCCACTACACTAATATGCTACTTCCTCACTGCTGGGAAAAATCATCTATGTCTGAGAAATCGCCCTAGGATTCCTGGCTTTGTTGTCCACAGCACTCGCTTTCTTCCACAGCTGTGTAATTTCAATAGGCTACAAAGAGAAAGTTGGGTGAAATTGCCACTTTACTTTTTGTTTAACTTGAGCGTTTAGTGCGTTGCCTTGTGCCTGTGCTGTTTCTTGACTATTTTTAAAACCAGGATTTTATGAGTGCTTTAGGACAATTGCTTCAAACTCAGGATATTTATTCAGACTTTTCTTCAGACTATATATATTTTTTGGTCAAGTTTATCCCATGAATACTGTTTACATTGAACAATATTTCCTTCTTGCAGATCTCTGCATTCTGTAAATATTTATAGACTGCTGTATATCTTCGCTTCCTTGATTATAACCAAGCTTTCAGTAGTCTACATAAATTTCCTTTGGTCCTGTCTGTCCTTGTTGCTCTTCTCTAAGTTCCTCACAATTTGTAGCTGTAATTCTTGAACCAGTTTGGATGATCAGCAGTTTTCAACTATGCCACATTACAAACCATAGGTTTCATTTTTCAGTGGTCAAACTGATTTACACATTATGAACTCAGACCATCTGATTTTCAGTGGAGTGTTGCCTTCCCCAAACCCAAACATTTGTGGTGCTGGGGGCCCGAATTTGCCCGAGCTCAGTACACACAGCATGGACGGTGTAGCTGGGTTTCCCGGTGCTGCAGCAGATGGTGAAGAGCATGGCCAGGCATGTGGTCCATGCAGTATCCAGACATAGGCCAGGCTGGAGCTGCATTTCTAGCCCAGATGTTTTGGATTCACTCCTGTGGGATCCAGCTGTGGGGACGGCTGGTGCATGCTCAGGTCTCCCTACGTTATGAGACAGGGCACAGCACATGCACCGAGACCTGGGAAGCTCAGCAGCACCCTTGGGTGACTGCTTTTGACATAAACACTACCGTATTTTTATGTGCAGTCTTGGAAGGCCCAGCTTAAAATCAAGGCAAATGAAGCGAAGTCAGAATAATGATTATCCTAGAGATAATGAGAAAGATTTTAAAGATCTAGGCCTTATTACTGATTTTTCAGGGACATGGTTGAATAGCCCTCACCATAACTGCTTATGGTTTTTCATATCTTCTTCATTTCCCATATCAGAACTAGTATTAACATCCCCTTAAACCTGTGTTTAAGAATTACAGTTCAACAGAGAGTTTGAACTCGCCTAATTTAGGAGAGAGAGAATTTTACTCAACTCTTTCTGTTTTCACTACCCCAGATGGGTCACAGGAGAATGGGAGCCTTGCAGCAAAAGTTGTGGGAAGACAGGATATCAAGTGCGATCTGTCCGATGTATCCAGCCCCTACACGATAATACAAATCGGTCTGTTCATACCAAGTACTGCAACAACGACCGTCCAGAAGGCAGGAGGCCCTGCAACCGGGAGCTTTGCCCAGCACAGTGGAGAATAGGACCCTGGTCACAGGTCAGTCTCTTTCTGGAGGTCTCAAGCAACTAATTTCGTGTAATGCAGGGGAGTGCATTCTGTGCTTTCTATTCAAGTGCATTGCCACAATAAACTAATACCTACACAGAGGCTGTACCGCTTCCAGTGCTGCTAATGCCACAGAAAGTGAGTTCGGTGGAGAGATGGTGGTAGTGAAACAGGCAGTAAAGCCATCCTGCAGCGGTGCTGGATGATCCACACCCCGTGAGCCACCCATCTGAGGTGGCAGCATCAGCAAAGCTGAATTCAACCTGCTTGTTATTCTGCTCACAATCATTGGCCTGTTGACTTAAGCTGGGAGAAGGGCAATTAATTCTTTTATCACTGTTTTATTTTCTCTCAAGTAAAGACGACTTTAAAGTCTTCAGACACTGTGATTAAGGGCACCTTAGGAAGTTAGGCACCAACGCTGGTGGAGATTCAGAGGTGTGAGCATCTTTGCTGTAAAGGCCTTCAGCAGATTCAGCTGCTCAGTCTCGTGAGGTTCTGTCCGTAAGCCAAAGGAGACAGTTTTTCACCTAGTTTGCTGTGGCAGTACAGGGCACCTATTCATGAACCCTTTTAGTTTGTCACTTTTGGGCAAAGCAGGATTCAGTCACTCCCATAACAAGTGTCAGGAGTTGGGCATCCTGTGCTTTCCATCCCTGGCTCTTTGGCCAACTCACTGTGTGGCAACAAATGCAGTGCCACTGTGCACAGACTGTTTCTTGCTAACGTGTTTAATAAAGCAATAACAAGCTCCATTTATTCATATTTACAAACCTTTGCAGTCATCAAAAGGCAAGAAATGTGAGTAGAATATTGCAACATTAAATTGTTCTTATAATTTTGATACACGGGATCCTTATGGTTCATCTCGGGATTTCTCCATTAAGTTGTTTAGGAAACGTGGCTGCATTTGGAGGTACAGCATTTCATTTTGGAACTGTGCCATGCAAATAAGCACAAACAATTTTTATCCTCACTTTTATCACAAGCAATGCCATCTCTGATGCACGCTGTGAATAAATGCCTCACATTTGCAATTGTTTTTTTACTACTCAGACCATAAGCTCTTTCTCAGAGTGTCACAATTACTGCTATATCACAAAAAAAGCAGTGGTGCTCCCTCTTATTTAGTTACTGTAGGTACTGCAATGGTTGAATTATGTGCCATGTCAGCTCGAATCAAGGGCAGTGGTTTAAAATTCAAAATATAACTTCTAATCCGTTGTTTCCAACGGGTGACTGGGGGTCTAACTGGTGCATCTCCTTTCAGTGCTCTGTCAGCTGTGGCAACGGCACGCAGGATCGCCCGGTCCTGTGCCGGACCAGGGACAATGCTATTGGCCTTTGTAAGGAAAATAAACCAGAGACTGTAAGGATTTGCAGACTACCTCCGTGTCCAAGTAAGTGCTTGTCTTCTGTAGCATATCTTACTTGCTGGGGAAAAAAAATACAATATTGATTGCATTTATTTGAAATGCCTTCATCAAATTTATACTTGTGTGCTGTCTGCCGGGGTTTTGAGCGGACTTTCCAAATGTAGAGCTGTTGTGTGGCTGATGGGCTTCTTGGGCACGTGGTTGTTCTCTTCTCACGGTGGGGAGCACCACTTGCCCCAGGACAGCGTGAGAGGCTGAGGCAGACCTCAGCACAGCAGTGATGGATCTGGCCAGCAAAGGACAACCCTTCTGGGTGAGAAGCACTGCCTGAGTCCGGCCCTGCGCCCCTGAGACCTGCTGGGCTTGGCAAGAGGATGGTGGGTTGTGGCTAATCAAGGGCATTGTGTATAGAGATGCCTCTTTGCTTTCCTCACCTCCTGTGACAGTCCCAGGCTTCTTTTCCATTCTACCAAGCACAAGTTATCTCCAGGGCTCATCTGCTTCCTTTTTGTTAAGCTATAATAAATTTGTTGCTACTTCATCCAGGATGCTAACACCTCTATCCTTGTTAGCTTTTCAGCTGTTTGCAAATGATACTTGTGAGATCATTTTACATATTCCTGTTATTAAGTAATTCATATTTTTGTTTTATTCCTGATGAATTTCTCAGGGTAGCTTTTGATTCCTAGTTAATTAGAATCAAGCTGTCAATTATGGTCTCCAATACAAAGATTTGAAAGAGGCAGTATAACTAAACTAGGCTGGATATATTTTAGTATATATTTAATGCTGCTGTGAGAAATACTGCTGGAAAATTGGCCTTCGGGCTGTTTTCAGTGTTGGCTGTCAAGTACGAGGTGCAAGTTGTAGCAAACTGGCCAAGCAGCACCCTCTGCCCAAAACTACACAGCCCGCTCGTAATCCTTCCCCGGGCTCCTTCGCCATCGGAGCCCACTCACTCTCTTAGCTTATCCCCTTCTGACAGGGCAACTACTTACTGCTAACATATGTTGTGTTACATCTTTTTTTTTTTTCCTCAAGGAAACGTTTCCGATCCTTCGAAGAAAACCTACATGATACAATGGCTGTCAAGACCTGATCCAGACTACCCCATCCAGAAAATATCTTCAAGTAAAAGACCCATTTATAACTCTGCCTTTGCCCTTAAATGCATGCCACATCGAATGTGGACTTTGCCTTTTGCTCTCTTCTTCTCTCTATGCGGAAAGTTCCCTTGACTTTGCCAAGTTTAAATCTTGGGCTGAATCTTTTTTTCACACCAGGCACTTGGTGCTCGGTGTCTTTCTTCTCTGGAGCTTGCGTAGCACTGGTGGTGGAGGTCTTGAAGTATTGGATGTGTGAAGTTGGATCTCCACAGTATGTTGCAGCCCTCTGAAAGGGAGCTGGGATCGGTTTGCTTGTTGCTTGGTGATGGTGAAAAAAGGCTCTTACTGGTTCATGACGTTCAGTTTGATAGCAAAACTGAGAACTTATTGTGAATGTGATCACATCACAATAATGACACCTTGTAGTGCTAAAGTTCTCCTTTATCTAAAACCCCTAAATCTCATAACTCTCTAGTTTCAGTTCGCTGACAGGGTAGACTGGTGAGTGAAAGAATTTTTTCATTCCATTTTCCTTTGCGGTGCCGTTGCTTTACTCACCCTTGCTGCTCATTTTTCATTCCTGACCCTCACATTTATGTTTGTAACCCGTGGAGGACTCACTGGGAAGCAGACACTCAGTTTCTGTCAGTACTCTCTGCACTACCCTGACGCCGTCTGCTCTCGCCAAACTTCTGATGGTGGTTTGAAATATTTTTCCTTGTGAAAAGCTGCATTTGTTTTTCCCGTTGCACAATTTTTGCCGGTTTTGCGTACTTTCACTTTAGAAACAAAACCGAAGCAGGACAGGCATGGTCCACGTTGAAGGTTGCGTGGTGGCGTTTTTCTTAACCTGGTGGAGGCAATATGAGGTTTTCATTGACTACGATGTCTCCAGCTGCTCAGCGCGGAGCTGTTTATACTCATTACATCTTTGGTCTTTTTTCACCATGTGCATGTCTGACTTGACTGGTATGGTTGTATGTGTGCGTGTGTGTGTATGCTCTATAGATGTGTCAACTGGCAAACATAACAGTGTGAATTACTACAGAATTACCTCAATTTTTATTGCTTTTTTTGCTTAGAAGAAGAATTTTAGAAAAATGCCTTAATGTTGAGATGTAAATGGCATTAATTTACCAGATCCAGCTTTAAATATAAACAGTACACTGGTACCTTGAGTTAATCTTACGGAGTGTTTTTACTTGAATGGTAACTATTAGAAGGCAGTAAATTTAATCCGAGGTTAATTTGCACAGTGCATATCCATATCTTCATCAAGACAGGATAGTGACCTAACCTACTGAAATTTAACTGGCATTCTTGCTTCACTTTCTGTGTTTGTGTTGAAGATTTGGAGTTCACAAGTCATAAACCTGTTTGTGACAGTCAGTACCAATAGTAGAAGCGTATCAACTTTAAAACTGCAGTCGTGGAGCAAATTACTACCTTATTGCATTGATCATATTCTTTGGAAAAGTGGCATTTTTGAATCTTTGGGTCTTCAACAGTGTAGCACTTCAAACTTGTCATTATCATGTGATCACATATTTAAATTTTGCTGTTAATATGATGATTTCCTGAAACATGTTAACAATTTACATGACAAGGTGAAAAAGCAAAGACACGTATCTGGCACTGAATACTGTTATGTAAAATAATTGGTGTTTAACTGTATAAATATATTCATGACTGTTACCTTTAAATAGACAATGTTTAGTGATGTTTCAAGAGATGGGTGGCTATAGAGAATGGTGCAATAAGGTATCTGGGCATTGTGCACTATGTCTATATGCACTTTGGTTTATCAGGGATATTTTATTAGTGTTTTGTATGTATTTAACATAATATTAAAGATGTGCCAATTCAGTTTGCTTTTCAATATTTTTTTATGAGACTAATGTGTACCAAAGTGACTGTGAAACTGATTTATTTTTTTCTTACTGATGTTTTGAAGATATACTTCCAGTCTGTCATGCATACTGCAAGTAAAAATAAATAAAAGTTCAGCAAATCTGGATATTTTGGTTTGGATAGAGGATAAAAACTTCATTCTGACATTCATAAGTTAGAGAGTTTATTTATTTATGTAATTTATCAGATGTCACTAAACATATTACATAACATTACATATTACATATTTTCTTGCATTTTTAAGCTTGACATTACGTATTTTTTATAGGAAAAAAGGCATTTTTCTAAAGGCGCTTTTAATGATTCTTACAAAGCCAGGAACACATCTGCCTCGTTTAAACTACATTTAAATGTTATATCTTTTGGCTCTTATTTTGCAAGCCATTTGGAGAAGCTTGCATTAAGGTCGTGCAACACAAGGCAAAATGTTCAAAGGGGACTCTACCTGGTATGTAAAAAAAAAATATATAAAGCTCTATAGGCACATGCGGTCCTTTGTATAAGTTGTGCATGCAGATAGGAACAATTCCAGCTCTTTAAGACTGGTTTGAAAATGTCTGCAAAACCGAGGTACTATTCTTAGGTTCCTGAGGAAGGAGTTGTTCTTTTTTTCCCAGCAAGCATCTCAGTTTAGCATTTGAAAAATATGAAAATTAATTGACGTGTTTGAAAATAGGAACCAGAATTTTGCTTTTCTGCAACAAATGTAACAATCGGGGCATAAATACGATGCAAGGAAGGTGTTTCCACCTTCCTCAGCCAGCACCAGTGTTTTAAAGCAGCAGAGACAGTTGCTAGTTTATTTTAGACTGATATGTTTGCCAATTAAACACCTATAATGCCCTGTTTTGTTAACTGAGGATGAGTGAAGAGGCGACACCTACACTTTCTGAGTTCACTTGATATCTCTGAATCTGCTCTGGTTCTCTTCTTTGTTGTGAGGTTGCTGACAGGGTAAGTCAGTGTTGGGAGCAGGATGGTGCAATACCAGCTCCAGTAACACGCTGGCTGGAGCACGCTGTCTGCCCTCGGGTATGCGCTAAATAAAGGCGAGTAATTAGAGTTACTCATCCTTTACTGTAAGAGTAGGGGGAGATGTAAGAAGAGCAGGGAGAGAGGCAGAAGTGATTTCATCTCTGTCTCAGCATTCTGGTCACAGAGAAAATATTTTGTTACTGATTATGCCAAGTGTTGGTCAGGCTGCCTTTCTCCTCAGCCCTCTCCTCTCCTACAAGCCCTCTCACTCCTCTTTCTTTCAGCGTGGGCTGTGTGTTGGGATTTTTCCTTCACTGCAGTTCCCAGTAGTTCCTGGCTCCATCACTTCAGCCGAGAGGCACAGGAGCTGTAGGGCAGGTGTATAGGACGGAGGACAGGTAGATCTCTCTCCAAGGAGCTTGGTAGCCCTTCACCATCCACCTGCTGCCAATTCATACAGTCCTCTGCCTCCTCTGAGTAGAAATCACAAGGGCTTGAGTAATCTCTGAGTCTGTTAACATTTCTCAGACAGTAATACAGTTTGACCAGCTCCCCTTTAACCCCTTCGCCTACGTTTTGCCACTTGTATTTCAGCAAGACCGGGATCTGCTGTAACACCTATATTATAGTGCAGGTTGTCATAACAGCTATTGACAGCTTAAAACCTATCAATTATCATTCTGTCTCTTTTATTACAGTTTTCCAGTCAGTGACATAAAAATCAGGACTCGTTACTGGGTTTCCCAGTCATTAATGGACTGCCTTGGCTCCATCGCACTGGAGTTTGTTGTTCTGACAATATCAGCTCCCGTTGAGGAGGAGGAGAAAAGCCTTATGCTAAATGCACCGCTTTTCTCTTGCACAAGGGACATGCTCAGGCAATGCTGCTGTTTTCAGAACAGAGGTACCTGGCAAAGAAAAATCACTCCAATGGGAGATGAATGAATTCTGAGAGTTACAGGGTACACATAGAAATAAGGCTTGACTTTCTTGAGACAGTCCAGATATATATAAATTACCCCTGACTGTGGTTAGTCACTGTTAGATTGTAGAAGAGCATTAAAAGGACTGAAGAGGGGTGGGAATATGTCTCAGTATAAACCTTGATGACTTTCTGAGGTTTAACGTAGCACTAGCAACAACGCAGCACTATTGGTGTGTTTTGAACTCTCAGCCAAGGCAGGAACGCACGTCGTCGTGGCTCCACGGTCTTCAGGGTACCGCTTGCAGGATATGAAGCCAAAAAGTAGTGTTATGGTCTACAGCATGGACAAGGCTGGTACAAAGTGTTCAGATCAGCTTTTGCATCCGTTGAAGTGAGCTGAGTTTTAGGTTTAATATTAAGCCTGCTTCTGCTTATAGAAGGCTCATTTGCCAGTTTCCCATCCCACTTTGAAAACCAAACCCTCTGCCCACTGCCAAAGCTTCAGCTGTGTTTCTTTTTCTGATTGATGTGAAGATGCTTTTTATTTATCTGTTCCCTTTTTGTCTTTCAGAAGATCATTGTCAAGGAGACAAGTCAATGTTTTGTCGCATGGAGGTTCTCTCTCGTTACTGCTCGATTCCTGGTTACAATAAGCTGTGTTGCAAGTCCTGTAATATGTACAGCAACATAACAGAGGACGACAATGTAACTGATTCTAATGTAAATAAGAATAATGTCATTGTGGAGGAGCTCCTGACGACCCGCAGCCCTCCCATGGGAGTGTCCACCACACAGTCTGCCACCAGCCCTCCTCTTGTTGTTTCCAAAACACGTGCACCTCCTTCCAATGCAACTGAGGAGCACCCAGAAATCAACACGGTGGATGTTCCCTATAAAATCGATGGGCTGGATAATGAGGTATCACAGCACAACATCATTACTCGGAGGAGGATACCTTATGAAAGGACAAGGAATCAAAGAATTCAGGAGCTGATTGCTGAGAAAAGAAAAAAAGAGACTCTTAGGAAAATAAACTAAAATGGAAATATGGCACAAACAATGTTTTTCTCTTATAGAGATGTTACCAACATCGTAGTATTGCCCATGTTGTAGAGACTAGAAATGGGGGAAAATCAAAGTGGTGCTATGGCAGAGATGCCAAATTCTAAAGCCTACTATAAATGGAAAAGCCAGATTGTTTCACAAGTGCTAATCTGAACACTTTGATGGCTAGGTTTACAGGGTACGGTAGAGTATTAGTGCAATATCATTACAGCGTTTCACTGAATCCAAACAAACCGTAATACCTAGGCCAGGTTAGCAGGTTTCTTGTTTATGGGCTCTTTTAAGTCTTCTATGCCTGTGTAAAACTGCTTGGGAACAGCAATGGGAGTTACACTTAGGATGGAGGAAAACAGTCCCAAGGCATAATAAATCCCTTCAACACTGACAAGCAGGTGGTCACCAATCCTGTGATGCTTCTGTGCATTGCATAAACCCGGGCACTAACTCGGCCCCCGGTTCAGGAGGGTACCTAAGGACATGCCAGACTAAGTTTAGCTGACTGCAGTGGAGCTGCTCCTGTGGTTACAGCAAGGCGTGTGCTTTCATAGCTTTCTTAACCGGGACTGCGTAAGAAAACATATAGAAAATTCTGTAGCCGTATATTTATGTGTAAATTAAAAACTGGCAAACAGTAGTTTACATATTTGCATAAACAGTTTCAAAGGAGTCTCCGAAACTTTTGAATACATGCAAGACATTTAGTAGGGTAGATCCGGCCAACTTGGACTGACAACATCCTAGTCTTTCTGTTTACAATTATCCATATTTTTTATAGTCTTTAAGTTCCTGTAATGCAACAGCCTCAGTTATCTTTGTTGGTTGGTGCTTTTTTTATTATTGGTCTGATTTTTTTTCTACCCACATACTGTAACTTAAAGATGACTGGATTCTTGTTGCCTTTTCTTTGGTGCTTTGTTAAGAAAACATTTATTATTTTTTTTGTCCCATGGGATGAGGTTATTTTGGAGGAAATAATTTTGTATTATTTTCCTTTCCTTAGGACAGCGTTATTGGTGCAGAAGTGAATGGTTACCCTTACATATACAGGTACAGCCACGCACACATAGGTGTAGTCACAGTACCAGGTCTGCTAGAAACTTTAAGAGGTGTAACCTGAACCCTTTGAGTACTACCTTTGCCCTCAGGGTCATCGTGGTTTTCATAGGTCATTTTGAATTCCTGGTTGGAGATCAGAAGATGAGTTCAGCTTGGCTCTAACACCGCCGAGACAGGGAGAACGCACTGGTTCCTGCTGCGGGTGGCATCTGAGCAGTTTTTCTCCTGTCTCTCTGGCTTGGACTTTGTTTCCTCTTTGCTGGTAAACCTCCTGCAAAGCCCAGGGTTTCTCTGAAATCCTTTTACCACTAGGTAGATCTGATGGCCCCTAGTTCAGATTTTCCAGTCTGAGAGTAAGATCTCATCCTCCAGTCTGAGCTGGTCATAGTTTGAAACAGCGCCAGTAATAAGCCTCTATGTGCAGTCACATGGAAATGTGCTGAGTTTCCAGCAACGTGTAAGCTCTTCTGTGGCCTGGCTGCTGGCAAAGAGCTTCAGAAGTATTGCAAGGTGAACCACAGGTGGCTTCCTGTGACCTTGCCTTCTGCCCTTGACCACCGTGGCTGAATGCGCTGCCCAGAGTCTCCTCTTCAGAACGAGCCGGTCCCACTGGGAAGGAGGGGAGAGCCTGCAGGAGCAGTCTTTGCAGCACAGAGAAGTTGAACTGCTCTGGCCTGAACTGGGGCCAGAAGACTTTGAAGGACGAGACCTGGTTTAAGAAAAATACTTTATGGAGATACTAACCAAAGCAGAGAAGGAATGTTTTCAGCTGGCGTGATGGCATCAAGCGTCCCTTCTTACAGAGGACCAAGGGGATACACTTGGGTGAGTGTTTAGGACCAGCTCAGGTGGTACAGGGATGGGGGTTACACTGATGACCATGAAGACCGGGAAGCATAAGGGGCCTGGTAAAAGTCCAGAGCCCTAGGAAACATCTTCTGGGCCAAGCAGACGTGGCTGCAGATGTGAAAGCAGTGGGCAGCGCAAGCAACAAAGGAATGGGTTCTGGGTTTGAAAAGGAAAACTAAAGCTCCACGGTTTGGCAGCCCTGAGCAGCAGTTGGTGGGGGCAGTGACAGGAGTCTCACCTCAGACATGAACTGGTGAGACACTGAGCATTTTCCTGCAGTCACACGTTGCTTATCTTTAGTTGCCCACATGGCAGCCTTCGCTCGCCCCAGCCCTGCTCCCTGCCCTGCCTGCCGTCACACAGCCACCGTGCACGGGCAGCCCGGCGCCCGCCCCAGGAGCCTCGAGCCGAGGGATTCGTGGCTGCCCGCAGACAGGACAAGTTTTAGAAAATAGGGTCAGGTCACATCTGTGCAAAACAGAGCAATGTAATAGTGAGCACTGAAGGGAAAAAAACCCAACCCACCATGCTATTTATAAGCACGGAAGATGTGTCTAAATCAGCATCATTCCGGCTGCTGTGCCACGGGAGACACAGCTGTAGCTGGGCTCCCAGCCTGTAGACATCATGAGTATTTCTCCCCCTTCCACATTTCCTTTACTCAGATGCGGTTAGTGTAAAACTCATCTTTTCCCCTCCACGTTATTATCCTGCTTTTTAGCTCTGCGGACAATAAAAAGAAACCACAACCCGCAGGTTTTTCATAGGCTAGACGCACATCCAAGCACATGGTAAACTTCTGAAAAACCCTCACAAACCCAAGGGTAGGGGGGTTGGGGCTTACAGTTACGCAGGTGGGGAAGTAGAAGTTTGCTACTGGAATGGTACCAGTCTTGGTCTCTGGGACTTTGTGGACACCCATTTCTCTGACCTCCAGAAGCCTGAGATAACCCATCTAATAGCTTCTGTTCTTCCTTAGCATCAGGAATAGGCTTAGTCAGCCAGGGAATGTGAAGAAATGCCACAGGAGGAAGTGCCCACAGCTCAAATGCTGTCTTGCGAATTGCCTCTTCTGTCCAAAGAACTTCTAAGTCGTGCCCCAATAGTGAGTGGGGCAGGAATTTATTTGGTGCGACTTGAAGTGACCTTTCTGCAAACCGCACGAGCAGAGGCCTGTTCCAGCACGGAGACCCAACAGTTTACAAAGGACCGGGCGGTTCTGTGCTGAGCATTTCCAGCTGTGTCTCCCAGCGGCCGGCACTGCTGTAGGCTGGGCAAGGTCAGTTTGGGGGGGTTCGCTCACGCATGCGTGGCATGGGCACCCCGGGCTGAACTTGCAAACCTGGTTCAAGGTTCAGAAACTTGACCGCTTTGTTCTTGCTCCAGAGTAAGTCAGTTTGCAATCAAACAAACCAAAAGCATTTACCCAGATAAGGTGGAAACTTCTGCTGCACCTTGGAGCAGGAGCAGCCTCCCAGAAGGCTGGCGCGGTGCTACGCTAGCTCCGGCGTTCATTAGGGACCCGATGCGATGCCTGGTGGCATCTGCATTTAGGAAGGGCTTGCTCCCTTCTCAGTCTCACCTTTTAGGAGATTTAATTTGATTTATTTCTTGCTGGTTTTAATTCTACTGACTATTTGTCTAGCTGCTATTTAGGGAACACAGAAATTATATTTGAAGGAGCAGCTTCAGTCTAGATTGCTCAAGACTGATGGGTACAGACTGGTCCACCTCCTTATGGAGCAGAGCCACCAGCTGCCTTCTTTTTACAGTCTGGCTGTCTGAGGGGCAAAAAAAGCCTCTTCAGACCGGGAAAGATGCCTTCTTTTCAAGCTGGCATGGGTTTTTCAGAAGGTATTTTTCTCAGCAGTTCCCCATGGTGGTGGTTTCATGAGAACATGTACCTCACTTCTACTGGAAAACACAGAGCAGAGCTCTGTTGCTAAAGAAAAAGCAGCCCAAGGCAATAGATGGGGTTTTGCTCTCACCTGATCCTCGTTCCTTGTCATGCAGTGGAAATTTTGGTCATTTAGTGGTTGGTTGAACTCTTGATAACTGTTTCCTCTTTTCTACAATGCTGTAATTGGGCAGGAGCATCATCGCAGTGTGCCTTCTGTGACCATTTTGCTGTTGCCCAGGTACTGCATTTTGAGACATAATAAGCAGAGAGTGGTATTTTAATGTAACCTAATCCTCAGAAACTAAAGCAGATTTATAAGTAAATATATTCCTGCAGAGACCGTCTCAGAGATCTGAGCGCTAAAGCGATGTGCTCCCATTAAGCAATGTGTTTTGTGATCTAACCATGCAAGTACACAGCTTTCTAAATTGTCATTTTTCTGTTGGTCTAAACTTAAAATCCAAGTGACAGCCCCTCATGAAAAAAAAAAAGATCCCAAACCAATTCTGGTTTCTTTGGCTCCAATCTACTGCCATTTTTTTCACCAACATGCCTTTAAAAATTTCTGTAATCTATTATAAATGCATCACTTTTTATATTCATATATCCATTCAATATTTAGAGTCACACAACATCTCAATAGAATGCTTTCAGATATTTTGAGAATTCTAGAAATGGTGCTTTACCAGTACTCAAAGGGGTTTATGTTTTGTTTTATTACGTAATGCATTTAATGTCTTATTTACTCACCTACAATGCACAGTATTAGCTATGTTCATCTGAATATCTATATGCAACTTCCGTTCACTTACATATGCCTTAACAGAAATCGCAATAAATAGCCATTTCTTGTATATTAAAAATGTATATACAAATTAGAATCTTTAATTTTATAATTTATTAAATTCAAATGTCTGTGTTCTTTTGCAAAGTGTTTGATTTTTCCCTGTGCTTTTTTCATTGAAGTCCTGTTACACAGAGATGCTGGGGGAGGAAGAACCAGCATCTTCAGACTCAAAACCAATTCAATTTCTAAAAATTTATCTTAATGAAGTGGGATTGGGATACACTTGTTGCCAAAGTCCTACATCCTCATTACAACCATCTGTTATCCAAGGCCAAATATCATGAAGTCACCGGACCAAAACCTCAGTTGATAACTGCACAG